GGGACCTCCTTGAACCCTCAATCCCGTGCAGTGGGACCCCTGGCACCCCCTACCCCAGCACTGACACCCCCTGCACCAACTTCCCTGGGAACCCCAAACCCCCTTCCCAGCTCTCCCAGCTCTCCCAGTTCCCCCTTTTCTCGACCCATGGACACCCCCAGACCCCCCAAATCTCCGTGTCCCCCCAGTTCTCCACTCCCTGCGTTACCTGGATGTGGCAGTGACGGAGCCCAGCCCGAGGATCCCTCAATTCCTGTCCATGGGATACGTGGACGGGATCCCCTTCGTGCGCTACGACAGCGAGCGGGGCCGGACGGAGCCGCTGACGCCGTGGATGGCGGCCGGAGCCGAGCCGGAATATTGGGACACCGAGACCCAGATCAATGGGAGGTACCGGCAAAAGGACCCCGACCACCTGAAGATGCTGCAGGGCCGGTACAACCAGAGCGGGGGTGAGTGGGGGGAGCCGGGGAAGGCGGGATCTGTGGGGCTGGGATGTGGATCTGTGGGGCTGGGATGTGGATCTGTGGGGCTGGGATGTGGATCTGTGGGGCTCCAAGGGACTGGGACGGGATGTGTGGATCTTCCATCAGACTACGGGAGTCCATAGGGCTGGAATGGGGCCCTGTGGGGCTGGGAGACACTTCCATGGGTCTCTGTGGGTCCGATTCCTCCCCCTCCAGGTCTCCACACGCTGCAGCGGGATTGCGGCTGTGAGCTCCTGTCCAATGGGAACGTCCGTGGATCCTATCGGGAAGGCTATGACGGGCGGGATTTCCTTTCCTTCGAGTTGGGATCTGGGAGCTTCGTGGCAGCCGACGGTGCTGCCCAGATCATCAAGAGGCACTGGGACTCTGATGGGATCACAGTGGACAGGTTGACAAATTTCCTGGAGCACACCTGCCTGGAAGTGCTCCAGAAACATGTCCAGTATGGGCAGGAGGTGCTGGAGAAAAAAGGTGGGGGCAGAATTCTCGTGGGAATGGGGAACTGGGGAATATGGGATTTGGGAAGGCGGATTTGAGAATGCAGGAATTCCCATGGGAATTCTGTTTACACATCTCGCCCTCATCCTGTTCTTGTGGGAATTCTGTGGATGGATCTTACTGCTGTCCCATTTCCTTGGGAATTCCATGGATAGATCTCACCATTATCCCATTGCAGAGCCTCCTGACGTCCATGTGTCTGGAAAAGTGGAACACGGGATCCTGACATTGTCCTGCCGCGCGTACGGATTCTACCCCGGGGTCATCGAGATCAACTGGCTGAAGGGGGATGAAATCTGGGATCAGGAGACGGAGTGGGGCGGGATCGTTCCCAACAGCGACGGCACCTTCCACAGCTGGGCCAGGATCGAGGTGCTGCCGGGGGAGCGGGAGCAGTACCGGTGCCGGGTGGAGCACGCCGGAATGCCGGAGCCCGGGATCTTCGCCTGGGGTGAGGCTGGGAACGGGGAATCTGGGAATTGGGAATTTGGAATGAGGAGTTTGGGAATGTGGAGCAGTGGAATGGGGGTTCCCCTCCTGTTACGTACGACCCGCCCCAGAAAAAGGGAGGGGAGTAACCCAGGTTTTTATCAATAATTCCCTTGGGGTGGATTAAAGTGAAACGACACTGAATAATCGGTGTCTGAAAACATATACTGGCAAGGTTTATTTTAACAATTCTGTATCAACAAGCATGCTAGCAGTTTGGGTGTTGTCATAAAACAATGCAATACAGAGATAACTTTGGGGGGGGGGAGAAACTGTTTAGGGGAGAGGAAAACCAGGATGAGAGTAAGGGAAAAGAGAAGCTGAGAGTATAAAAGAAATGGACATAGTCACCGCCCACTGGATCCAGCGATGCTTGAGAGCGATGGTCTTGATTCGCCGGCGGTGGGGGAGAAGGAGAACCCAAATTCTCAAAGTCACCACTCAGTTTATATACCCTCAGCATGCTTTTGCACCTCCCTGGCGTGAGGGGTTGTTTGCCTTTTAGGGCTTAGCACTGGAGGGAGGGATGTGTCCGATTGGCCACCTGAGGTGTCTTCTTGCCTTTTAGGGCTTTAGCCCCTCTGAGGCAACTCCTTGCCTTTTTAGGGCTTAGCCCACCTGAGGCATCTCCTTGCCTTTTTAGGGCTTAGCACTGAGGGGATGGGCTCAACTGTCCATCGGGGGTATCTCCTTGCGTTTTTAGGGCAAAAGTCAAAACCTGCAAACTCCTGGAATGCATAAATCATTAACTATTTCAGTCTCTGACACCCTCCCCCTTCTCACCATCCCACGCCTTCCAGAGCCGGAATCCGGCTGGAATCTCATCCTATTGGTGGTCACGGTGTCCGTCATTGCTGCCACCATCATCATCATCATCATCGGACTCATCCACATGAGATTTGGCATCCGGAAGCTCCAATCCGGTAACTCATGGGATAGGGATTGGGAAGAGGCACAGATCCATCCGGTGGCATTCTGGGGATCTTGTGCCACAGGTGCTGATCCCACTTTATTTCCATAGGGAAGAGGAAGAGATATGTTGTGGCCAATGGTGAGTACCAGCAGCGTATCCAGAACCTCTCCATGTGGATCCCGTGATGGATCCTGGAATGGGTCCAGGTGTGTGATCCAGGCCAGAATCTCATCAATCTTCTCTTTCCACAGGAACAGACATGGGAACTGACTGCTCTCTCACAGGAATGGAGCAGGATCCATGTGGTATTCCAGGGGGAAATTGGGGCAGGATAGATGGAGCAGGATTGAGACAGGATTCCAGATCAGGGCAGGATTCCAGAGTGGGATCAAGTGGAATTCTGGGGTGGGATCAGGGCTGAATTCTGAAGCAGGATCAGCTGGGATGGATGGAGTGGGATTGGGGTGGGATTTCAGAGCAGAATTGGGGTGGGATGGATGGAGTGGAGTCAGATGGGATGGGTGGAGCAGGATGGGGTAGGATTCTGGTGCAGTTCCTCCTCTCCATGGGCTCCACAGCTGGATCCATCCTGTGGGATGGGCACAGGGACATGGCGACTCTGTCCCCCACTCTTGTCCCAGCAGACAACAGGAACAGCTGTTCCTGTTGTCACTCTGGTTCTCCAGGGGTGTTTCTCTTTCATCCTCCCCAAGGGATCCCTCAGGAAAAGAACGTGTTGCAGTGGCTCCGCGTGTCGTGACACGGGCTCCGACAGAGCCGCGTGCGGGAAGTGCCGGGAGTGGACTTTTATTGAAGAAAAAGAGAAATTTAATTTAATGGAAATATATATACATATGTAAAGAAACCTTTGTAAATATTTTCCCCTTCCCCCAACACTAAATAGTTGTGTTTTGTCTGAAAACTCTCCACATGAGGTGAGAAAGATATCAAGTCCATGCCATCACTAAACCCTCTCACAGGAGCAAATTGTGGGAGGGGGGCTTGAACTTAGAAATTGGATTCTTGGGAGTTTCAAACCACCACAGGGGGGGACACAGAGGCTGGGGAGTCTGGCAGGACACTTCCTGGATAGAGCCTAAAATCTGGTCAGAGAATGCAAACAACCCAAGCTGGCTGTGCTGAGCTCCCACTGGTGCCAAGGGGCTGCTTTTAGTGTTGGGTTGTGCTAAAACCAGCCTGGTTTGCCCATTGCAAACACATACCCTGCTTTTGGAAGCAGCATTTGACTGATAAGCTGCTGGCTGACCTGGAGAAATGGGACTGGCAGTCAAACTCTTTATTACTGTAAAAGCCCAGTCCAACTTTCATGTGGCAGATTCTTCCAGACTTTCCTGGAGTGTGTAGAGCTTGTCCCGTGGAGCAGGGAGGCCTCTTCATGTTTACTGAGGGGTTGAGTTGTGGAGGATCACAAATCTGACTGGGAACGGTTCAAGGCCTGGAGGGATGTGTATGGGGCCTGAAGACTATTAATTCACAGACTGACTTGTTATTCCCCAGTTTATTACCAGTTTTATACCAAGTTCAATGTGCTCCCATGTTAATGCCCCTTGATTTATACTGTTCAGGGCTTGCCTGGACTTGCCCTCACGTTTTTCCTGCCAGAAGTTGTTTACTGCCTCGTTCTCCCTGGTTTTCCCGCTCATCTCTCACCGGTTGGCTGAGGGATGCCGCAGCGCAGAGGGAGCTCCCATCGGTCCTTTCCCCTGGATACTCCAGAGTCCCACCCATCTTTCTCCTATTCCCCAATCCCATTCTGCCCTGAGTTGTCAATCCCATGCTCCGCCCCAGTTGTGGAACCTCCCCTTACCCATACCCTATGTAACTCTCCATTTCCCCCAATAAAGTGGCATTGCACCCCTGACCTTCAACTGAGTCCGAACCCTTTTGTGCAGTGTCGCGTCCCTATTCCTTTTACCCTCGGGCCGTGGCATTGAGTTGCACGGAGTTATATCAGTCTCCACTAATGATTGTTTCTTTTTACCAGCTTTGATACAATTTGATGCAATTGCTGTACTAGAATTGCTTTGATACAGGGCACTATTTTGTGGTATATTATACACTACTGGTAAGTTTTTAGTGTTTATACTGTGTAGTAAACTATTCTGGTTAAGATCTTTCTTCTGTTCACTTGTCTGTTCATTTGTCATAATAAATAACTTTATACATATAAATATATCTGATTTGCTGTCATTAAAAGCTGATTCAATCACATCTCTATCTTTCCTTAAATCCTTTGTTAACGTAATCCAAGGCTGAGATTGGATCCAGCTGACCCCAGGCTCCTGTCTGAGCAGGAGTTTAGAAAGCCAGGGAGTCCTTTCTGCACCTCGGGACTCAACAGTAGGAACTTCTCTAATAAACTTTGTTGCAAAGCCTTCCACTCCCACCCACAACAATTTGGTGTAGTCAGCAGGATGGCAAATGATTTTGAGAAACAGACAAAAGGCTTAACAGAATATTTATGGAGGCACAGTCACACATTAACACAGATGATCGTTGGCCTGTGGATAACTGCTAGGAGTGGGAAAATATGCAAGGAAAATGTTTTTAGTGGGGTGATGAAATGAAATCAAAAGAGATGTAATGCATAATGAAACTGCGAGATCCACAGGCCCTGAGGAGACTGGTCCCTATGTGGGCAGAACTCTTGCATGACGTGGTAAACCATGCAAGGCACAGGGGCTGGGAAAATTATGCTGTGGAACACACCAAAAGGAGCCAGAAAACAACTGTGAAAACCTCCTGAAAGGCAGGTGAGGACTGTAAAGCATAACTCACCCAAGAGAAAAGAAAAATCAAACCCCTCTGTTCACTCAGAAGAACAACGAAACGAACTGCAGAAAAGAAATTAGAAAGACAAAAGCACAGTTTGAACTCTGTCTGACCACTTCTGTAAAGGATAATAAAAGTGTTTTTATAAATACATCAATAGCAAAAGGAGGGACAAAGAAAACCTCCATTCTTTGTTGGACACGAGGTTTGGGGGAACATAATTACCAAAGATGAGGAAAAGGCTGAGGTACTTAACACCTTCTTGGCCTCAGTTTTCAACAATAAGGCAGGTTGTCCTCAGGACAGGGGGCCTCCGGAGCTGGCAGACAGGGACAGGAGGCTGAACAGACCCCCTGTAATCCAGGAGGAAGCAGTTGGTGACCTGCTGAGCCACTTAGATGCTCACAAGTCTATGGGACCAGAGGGGATCCACCCTGAGGTGATGAGGGAGCTGGTGGAAGAGCTCACCAAGCCGCTCTCCGTCATTTCCCAACAGTCCTGGCTCACTGGGGAGGTCCCAGATGATTGGAAGTTGGCCAGTGTGACCCCCATCCTTAAGAAGGGCCAGAAGGAGGATCCAGGGAACTCCAGGCCTGTCAGCCTGACCTTGGTACCCAGCAAGGTTCTGGACCAGATCATCCTAAGTGCAAACCCACAGCACCTACAGGATGGACAAGGGATCAGCCAGCCAGCACAGGTTTAGGAGGGGCAGGTCCTGTCTGACACACCTGATCTCCTTTTATGACCAGGTGACCTGCCTGGTGGATGAGGGGAAGGCTGTGGATGTGTCTACGTGGACTGCAGCACAGCCTTGGACACTGTTTCCCATGGCACACTCCTGGAAAAGCTGCAGCCAAGGCTTGGACAGGGGCACTCTGCTGGGTTAAGGGCCCAGGGAGTGGTGGGGATGGAGCTGCATCCAGTTGGGATCTGGTCACTGGTGGTGTCCCCAGGGATCAGCGCTGGGCCCAGTCCTGTTTAACATCTTTACTAATATTGTGGATGAAGGGATCGAGTGTACTGATGCCTTAAGCCCCTAATAGTTTTTTTATTTTTCTAATATTTGTAAGCCTTATAAGTTTTATAAGTAGTGGAAGTAGACTCTAAAAGCAGCAACCCTCACTCCCTTGTCCCTTTCCCTGTAGCACCCTTAGTTTACACATTCCTTAACCCTCTTACCCCATTCTATGCTCCCTGTATCACTCCTACCCCCAAATCCAGTGTCAATGTTTAGTCTTTTGTCAAGGCAAGGCCTAGGTTGTTTGCAGAACAGCATATCAGGGCCTGAACAACAAAATGAAGTCAAGAACTGGGTGACTATGTACCCTTTGTGCTCTGAAGATGGTGAAGATGATGAAGTAGAGGGTCCCAAAATACACCCCAGACCCATTTCTCGGGGGTGGACCCGGGACGGTCCAGAGTAAAGGCCACAGGGTGGACACATTTGGGATTGGATGGATGGTGTTATAAAATGTAACATCTGGGGCACAGCGAGTGCGCGCATCATAACATCTTTGCCTTGGCATAATAAACCCTGTCTTATCTCACCCCTAATTAACTGCTCTGGAGATTTTTTTTAAGCATGGCATCAGTACCATCAGCAAATGTGCAGATGACACCAAGTGGGGGGAGAGTGTCAATCTGCTGGAAAGCAGGAGGGCTCTGCAGAGGCATCTGGACAGGCTGGAGAGATGGGCTGATTCCAAGGGGATGAGGTTCAACCAGGCCAAGTGCCAGGTCCTGCACTTTGGCCACAACAACCTCCTGCAGCACCACAGGCTGGGGACAGAGTGGCTGGAGAGCAGCCAGGCAGAAAGGGACCTGGGGGTACTCACTGACAGAGGCTGAACAGGAGCCAGAGTGTGCCCAAGTGGCCAAGAAGGCCAATGGATCCTGGCCTGGATCAGGAGCAGTGTGGCAGCAGGAGCAGGGAAGTGATTCTTCCCCTGGACTTATCACTGGAGAGGCCACCCCTGGAGTGCTGTGTCCAGCTCTGGGCCACACAGTTCAGGAAGGATGTTGAGGTGCTGGAGCAGGTCCAGAGAAAGGCAATGAGGCTGGTGAAGGGACTGGAGCACAAGTGCTGTGAGGAGAGGCTGAGGGAGCTGGGCTTGTTGAGCCTGGAGAGAAGGAGGCTCAGGGGAGACCTCATCACTCTCTACGACTCCCTGACAGGAGGTTGGAGCGAGATGGGGGTCGGTCTCTTCTCCCAGACAACCAGCAATAGGACAAGAGGACACAATCTTAAGCTGCACCAGGGGAGGTTTAGGTTGGACATTCAGAAGACTAGGTGCTTGGGCATTGGAATGGGCTGCCCAGAGAGGTGGTGGAGTCACCATCCCTGGAGGTGTTTAAGAAAAGACTGGATGTGGCTTAGAGCCATGGTCTGGTTGACAAGGTCGTGTTGGGTCATAGGTTGGACTCGACCTCATAGGTCTTTTCCAACCTAGTTGATTCTGTGATTCCTTCACAGCCCCTTGATTCCATGAGATTTTGCAGTGGTAAAATGGCCCTTTTATTCCATGAGATTCCGCACGTCACAATGGCCCCTTGGTTCCATGACTTTCCCTGAGCGTTCCAGGACTTTCCCTGAGCGTTCCAGGGTTCTTTTGGTTCCATGAGGCTTCTCAGTGCCACAATATCCCCTTGACTCCATGACGTTCTGCAGTGTCACAACAGCCCCTTGGTTCCACGAGGTTCTGCAGTGTCTGAGGGTTCCTTTGGTTCCATGAGGTCCCACAGTGTCACAATTGCCCCTTGATTCCATGATGTTCCACAGTGTCCCAGGGTTCCTTTGACTCCATAGGGCTGACACTGGGTTGGGAGACATAACAGATCTAATAATGGTTGCAGCAGAATGTGCCATAGAAAATTTCTGCGTAACCAAGCTGCCATGCAAAGAAACCAGCCAAGAAAAGAGACAATAAAGGCAGGAACTTGTGGTTAACAGAAGCAGCAAAGCAGGCAAAGGTGGGGTGTTACAAAGAATCACAGAATATGTTGAGTTGGAAGGAACCCATGAGGATCACCGAGTCCAACTCTTAGCCCTGCACAGGTCCATCCCCAAGAGTCACACCTTGTGCCTGAGAGCATTGTCCAAATGCCCCCTGAGCTCTATCAGCCTTGGTGCTGTGCCCATTGCCCTGGGGAGCCTGTTCAGCGCCCAACCACCTTCTGGGGGAACAACTTCTTTCTAAGATCCAACCTAAACCTCCCCTGACACAACTTCAGGCCATTCCCTCAGTCCTATCCCTGGTCCCCCCAGAGCAGAGCTCAGGGCCTGCCCCTCCTCTGCCCCTGCCCAGGAAGTTGGACCTGCACTGAGGTCTCCCCTCAGTCTCCTCTTCTCCAGCTGAACACACCAAATGCCCTCAGTGTCCTCACACACCTTCCCCCCAAGGCCCTTCCCCATTCTCATTGCCTCCTTTGGACACTCTCTAATGGCTCAATCTCTCCCTTCCATTGTGTCCCCCCAAACTGCCCCAATGGTGCAGGTGAGGCCGCCCCAGGGCAGAGCAGAGCGGGACAATCCCCTCCCTGGCCCGGCCGACCATGCTGGGCCTGATGCCCCCAGGCCAGGCTTGGCCCTCCTGGCTGCCAGGGCACTGCTGACTCAGGGCCAACTGGCCACCCAACAGCACCCCCAGGGCCCTTTCCTGGCACTGCTTTCCAGCCTCTCCTTCCCACTCTGTCTGTACATCCAGGGTTGTCCTATGCCAGGAGCAGAATCCCTTCCAGTCCCGTGTCCATGTCATTTATGAAGATGTTGAAGAGCACAGGAACTAAGATAGAACAACTGGAATCATACTGGGAGTGACTGGGAATATAGTGGAAGTGACTGGGATCATACTGGGTGTGTCTGGAACCATACTGGGAGTGGCTAGAATCATACTGGGAGAGACTGGGATTACAGGGCTGTGAATGGAACCTTACTGGGGGTGACTGGGATTACAGGGCTGTGAATGGAACCTTACTGGGGGTGACTGGGACCTACTGAGCCCATGCTGGGAGCCAACTGGGGACACACTGGGAGCAAGTTGTGGGCAAGTGGGATATAGTGGGAACAACTGGACTCATACTGGGAGTGACTGGGCTCTGGGAAAGGCAGAATAGGGAGGAGGGTGAGAGCAACCCCCCTCCCACTGCTCTGCATTCCCCAAATCCTTGTTCCCAGTTCCCACGCTGTCCCAGACGGGCAGATTGGCTCCAAGATCCCTTTCCCCGGGGACACTTCCCTGCCCTCTTCCCGCCTTCCTGCCCCTGGAAATCGGCACTTTGGAGCCTCATCCCATTGTTTCCTCCTTCTCTTCCCTATTATTATCAGGATCCCCCTGTACCCTTGTGGGAAGGTGGCTGGGGGTAACCATTCGAGGAAACTGAGAAGTTCTGTTCTCATGCC